TTTGTGACTTTATTTATTTATTTATTTGTTTGTCTGATTGTTTAAAAAGTCTTCATCTGGAAGGAAAGACATCTCAAAGACAAGTGATACCAGCTGTTATTTATTTATTCATTCATTCATTCATTCATTCATGTATTTATTTATATTTATTTATTTTTATTTGTTTATTTATTTATTCATGTATTTATGTATTTAATTATTTATATTTATTTATTTATATATATATTGTTTAAATTTTTATTTATTTGTTTATTTATTTTTGTTTATTAATTTATTTGATTAATTGATTGATTTATGCTTTAAACAGGAGTTTTTATCGTGCTTTTAATAGAATGTAAAATAGTCTAAAAGTGGTGTTTAGTTATACATTTGTATCTTTTTACTATTATTATTTGAAAACAGTTTTTGCCTTGACATACAGACATCTGAAAGATAAGGGATATCAGTTACTAAGTTACTTTTTATTTATTTGTTTGTACATTTTTATTATTATGATCATTATTTGAGCGCTACAGGAGTTTTTAGTGGCTTTTAATAGAACTTAAAAATAGTCTTCAAGTAATGCAAGTGAATACCAGTTGATATAAGCTGACTTTTATTTGACTTTTTTGGGAAAAATTGTGCTTATTTATTTATTCATTTATATTGTTGAGCAGTATGTTTTAGTGGGTTTTGAATGAAACTTAAAAGTAGTCTTGAAGTGTTTGAAAGAAGATTTGAGAAGAAGCGTTTGGCCCCAGTCTTTGTGCTGGTTTTGACACAAGCGTGTAAAGCGTGCTGCAATCAGCGTTAAGTGAATGGGCTTCAAGATCACTGAAATATTGAACAATATTTAATAGGAGATTCTAAATAGTTAAGATACATATCTGACTGAAGGAGCCGTGACACATGAAACCTTATAAACACTCGACAGTTTTCAATTTACATGAGATCAGTGTTCTTTTAGCATAACTGTGATGGAATTTTTATTAATATTATCAATTCATTTTTATTTTTATTTAATTATTACTTATATTTTTATGTTTATGTTGCTTTTTTTGCTTTTTAATTTTAGCTAAAATTGTAGTGATTTTGTTGTGTTTTTGTCATTTGTGTTTTTCAGTTGTGTGTGTGTGTGTTTTTTTTAAAGTTTGTATAGTTTTTATTCATTTTTATTTTAGTTTTAGTCTTATTTATTTTAGTACATCAAGGTAAACTGACTGAAAATGAGAAATATTGTCTTGGCAACTAGCTGATATAAAAGATTATTTTATGTTCCTCTTTTTTATTCTAGTAAAAGTTTTAGTGAATTTGCTGTGTGCTTTTGTCATCTTTATAAGTTTGTTTAATTTCTGTATCTTTTTTAAATGTTTATTTTAGTTTTAGTTTAGTTGTAGTACGTACAGTTAAACAGAATGAAAAACTGCAAATATTGCCTTGGCAATTAGCTGAAGAAAATTATAAAATATAATATTTTGTATTACATTGTTCTTTTGAATTAACATTTTTAGTAATTTTGTTGTGTTTTTGTCATTTTATATGTCTGTATATTTTAAAAAAAAAAATTTTAAATTAATTTTAGTACATCAAGTTAAACTAAATGAAAATGATAAATATTTTCCTGACAACTAGCTGAAATTATTTTATTTCAGTTCATATTTATTTTATTTCAAGTAACAAAAACACTGCACCTATGATTTTTTTTTTTTTGTGAAGCATAATATATTTATAGATATTTTTAAAAAAATGTCCATGCAATCATTCACTTTGTTAACCTCCAAAACTGCACCTGAAAAACCGACCTCAGAGTCTAAATGACTCATACTTTATATTTTGAAGCCACACAGTTGCTGCAACTTTGTTTGTATGCTTTTTATCAGCAACAGAATACAAATATGTTTCATATGTGAAAGATTTGGGCATTTTGCGGCTGTGATGCAGGTTCAGATGTAAATGGATGTGTCATTGTTTATCTGGAGAATGTGCACAAGTACCTGCTGGAGCTCCTGTCCTCCTCCCCCGGTTACCATGGTGTGTGTGTGTGAGTGTGTGTGAGAGTGTGTGAGAGTGTGTGTGA